TGGCCGTTTGGCCTGGGCCTGCCTGAACCGCCGTGGTCCAGGCCTATTCGGGCCTCATCTGAACCATCGTCCCTCAGGCCTTATCCTGCCTGTCTAGAACCGGGCCCTAACTGGGGCCCGTGTGGCTCAGTATGCCACACACTCCCCCCTTTGAAAGACCGAGCTAACTGCGAGGGCGAAGCTGTCTGTCCGATGTCCGTATAGGGCGGGCAGGTTGGGCAGCTTCCTTAGCAAGTCGCTGTTTTTCGTAATGCGCGAGATGAGGGGTGTTGTCGCCTTCAGATCAACTCTTGAGATCCAGCGTGTGTCGTTCCAATCCCATTGCTTGAATGTAACTTTGTACTGCATCGGCTTGTTGCCATGCTTGCGATGCGTGAGAACGCGGTCGACCTCCTGATGACCATCCATTGAAGGAGGGTCCTGTGACCGTCTGCCCGGGAAGTCCGCTGCGGAGGCTGGAGTGTAAACTGCCAGCTTTGAAGCGTGAAAGATCGGGTGGACCGTCAAATGCGGGGGAATCTCAACGATGAATGATGGACCCGCGGGGTCGTCGCCAGCTGCTGAAGTGACCATCCATGGTCCAAACCACTTTGGGAGGAGCTTGTGCGAGACGTCCTGCTCGAGCGCGAATTCCTCGGAGGCGACCCAAACTAGGTCGCCAGCGCGAATTGGACATGGGATGCGACGCCGGTTCGCTTGCTGCTGCATACGGACCTGGGCCTTTTGCATGTTTGCGTGGGCTTTGGCCAGCAGTTCCCTGTACTTCCGTGTAAAAGCGGGGGAGCAAGCGGCGTCTATATCGGCAGCCCGTGGAAGCAAAATGTCTGCGAAGATACGTCATTTCCGTCCACCGTGGTGCAACTCGAATGGAGTCACGCCAATCGCCAGGTGGACCGAAGTGTTGTAGGCGAACTCAATGTTGGGAAGGCGGTCAACCCAGTCCTTCTGATCCGGGCGGATGAGCGTGCGGAGCATCATCTGCGCAGTCCGATGCGCACGTTCCGTTTGCCCATCCATTTGAGGATGCTGTGCGGAGCTCGGTTTCATGTTGGTGCCAGATTCCACCATGAGTGCCGTCCAAAAGGCCGACGTGAAACGAGTGTTGCGGTCGCTGACTGTCTTCCGGAACACCGTGGCTGCAAAACCAGCTGGTATGCAAAAGTCGTGCGAGCTCGGGAGCCGTCGCATGATACTTGTACGGAAGAAATCGAGCGTACTTGCTCAAACGGTCAACGACCGTGAGAATACCATCATGACCAAGGCGATCGTGAGGGAAAGGACCGGTCACATCCATAGCAATGGGGAGACCCGGTGCCCGAGGAATCGGCAATGGTTTCAGTTCGCTGTAAGGGAGCTGATGGCGCCCTTTGTTCCGGTGGCAAACTGCACATGACTGAATGTACCGGTTGAGCTTATGATGTCCGGCCAGTGAAATCGCTGGCGGAGTCGTGCTAGTGTTTGTGCAACGCCAAGGTGTCCTGCCAGCCGCTAATCATGGTATTCACCAAGGAGGCGAGTGCGCAAGATGCGGTCTTGGGGAACACACGACAAGTCCTTGCCTCGCGTATGGAGGAGCAAGTAGCCGTCGGTGATGCGATAGTTGCTTGCCGGCGGTTGGTCCGATGATAAATCCGTGTGGAGAATCCCGGATCCGACTTGTATCCATTCACGAAATGCTGTTGGAAGTCCTCGTCGAGGCCGAACGTGGAATGCACCATGGCGCAAAGATCGGGTCTTCGCGAGAGAGCATCCGCCGCCTTGTTCGAGGAGCCCGGAATGTGCTTGGAGGTGAAGTCGAACTGGTCAATGAAGTACATCCACCGACCGATCGTGCTGCTCACCGTGTCTTGCATCTTGTAATACGTCAACGGATTGTTGTCCGTTGCCCACGTGAATCGCCGACGCCCGAGGAGAAAGTGACGCCAACGCTTAAGTACGCTGACAAAAGCTAGGAGTTCCTTCTTCCTCGGATCATCAAGAGTGTTGATGGGCGACACCTTTTGGCTGAAGTACTCAACCGGATGTCAGTTTGTGCCATCATGCTGTTCCAAAACCGTGCCAATGCCGTAACCGGAAGCGTCCGTAGTCACTTTGGTAGGCAACGTCGGGTCATAGATGCTTAAGACGGGAGCTTGAAGCAAAGCCGTCTTCAGCGTGTGAAACGCATGTCGAGCCTCGTCGATGAACTCGAAAGGCACCAAGGGGGACTGAAGTCGCGACAATGGTGCAGCGATACGTTGAAATCCTTTGACGAAGCGCATGTAGTACGATGCCAAGCCGAGAAAGGAGTGGACGTCGGTAGTACACTTGAGGTCCGGCCAATCTTGAATAGCTTGTAACTTGTCCGCGAGCGGACGAATGCCTTGCGGCGTGACATAATGGCCCAAGTACTCCAGCTCTTGCTGGGCAAACTCGCACTTGTCGCGGTTTGCCTTGTACTTGGCGATACAAAGCCACTCCAATACGGCGCAAAGGTGCTCGAGATGCTCGTCCAGCGACCGACTGTAAACCAAGATGTCATCAAGGTAAATGAGTACGGAGCGGTCGAGTAAGTCGGGAAATTCCGTCGTCATAGCCGCTTGGAAAGTAGTCGGGGCATTGGTGAGACTGAAAGGCATGACGATCCACTCAAAGTGCCCATACCGCATCTTGAAAGCGGTTTTGTACCGATCTCTTGGCTGAATCTCGATCTGGTGATAACCGGACTTGAGGTCAAGCTTCGAGAAGTACTTGGCGCCGCCGAGTCGCTCGAGAAGATCATCGATCCGAGGGAGAGGGCCGGCGTTCTTGATCGTTTGTGCGTTGAGTTTACGATAATCGATGCACAAACGAAGGTCCTTATTCTTCTTCCGGACGAAGAGAACGGGAGCACCGTATGGCGAACAGCTAGGGCGAATCCAGCCCTTGGCCAAAGGTCGTCTAGTTGTGCCCGAAGCACTTGTAGTTCCTCTTCGCTCATGCGGTAGATACATCCGCGCGGAGGTACGGCGCCGTCCTCGAGAGTGATCCCGTGGCGTATGGGCCGATCCGGTATGACTCCGGCGGGAGCTTGAAAGACATCCTTATAGCTGTCCAACAGCTCAATGATGCGTGGGTCCGACGTATCCGTCTTGGGCTGATCACCGGGTGGGAGGGCGTGAAGAAAACATATGCCCATTTCCTCGATGTCGTCCCGTCGGATGGATTGGCGAATGCTCGCCGCGGATACCACGTGACAACCAATCGAAGGATGAGGAAGCGTCACCGTACACGGGACTAGTTCACCATGCCGATCACGAACGTGAGCGGTGCGACGATGGAAGTTCACCGGGTGGTCTTCGCTTTGCAGCCACGACATGCCGAGGATCATATCGAACTTGGTGTCCAATATGTCGAAAGACACGGCCTCGCTTGCTAGCGGCGCAAAGTACATGGGCACCGAGTCAACGCAGCGGTCGATTGACTTTTGTGTGTGACCATCGGCCAACGTGACGTGCGTAGGCTGACTTTTCCTTCGAACGCGCGGGCCGAGCCCGGCGCGTGCCATGAAGTCTTGGCTGATGTAGTTGCGAGCCGCTCCACAATCGATCAAGGCACTGCAGGTCGCCTTTCCGATCTGAATGTGGATGTAGAGGAGCGGCGCGTCGTTGTCGACGTACCGTTGCGTTGCGTACTCGCGGTCGATCTTCGCAAGATAATTACAAAGATCAACAACCGCTACTCCGCCGTCCGTCGACGGAGGTGGTACTGCAGCGTGCAAGTATTCGCGTAGATGTGCCATCAGGGCATTGCAATGCGGAATTGGCAAGGAACCGGTGGAGGGAAGAGGCAACCATTGGAAGTCCTCAACCGTCAACGGATCGAGATCCTCAAGTCTCGTCCAAGTTGACGGATCCTCTGATAAAAGGGCTGGCGAAGCGACCGGTTCGTTGTTTGACGGCGGAACTTCCGCGCATACGCTTGAATCTTGCACGTGGAGAGGCTGGTTCAACGGTGGGACCAGCTCGACAGCATAGTTCTCGTACTCAACGCGAGAACTTGCGACTACCGTGATGTCCCCGGATGCGAGAGTGGCTGCTAGCAAGGCAGCCGACTCCGGCGGACTGGGAAATGTTGTCGTTGCACTTCCCGCGGTGCTCAGTTTCCCGAGCCCGAACGCTTGACATTTTCCTTGTCCTTGTCGAGGCAGGCACTGGTGACGTGTTTGGTGCTGTTGCACCATAAACAACATGACCATTTCTGTCGCAACTTGAACATTTCTTCGGTAATGCCAAATTTCGTCCATGGTGCCTGTCATGCTCCATCTGCCGACGCTTCTTTCGCCTTCTTACCCCCTCGGGGTTTCGTGCGTCGTGGTGGTATCGCTGCCGCCACATCTCCATCACTTGATGTTGAAGCGGCTGCGTGGTCCTCACTAGTTCCTTGYTGGACTGCTGCTACTTGCGGCGTCCGTTGTCCCTTGCCTTTCTCCACGTAACCGGGCTGTTGGCGGGTCTCGTTGGCCGCGCGCCGGTTACCTTGGATCAGGTCTCTTGCCTTTGAAATCAGCTCATCAAAGGTCTCATATTGGAATTCGGTACCAAGCGCGGCGGTCAAAGCGTCGCATGACCGAGCGAAGAATTCAGCCCGGGTTGCGTCGAATGGTAAGCCCAACTCCGGGGTGGCGACGAGTCTTTGCCACTCCGTCAGCCATTCCCGTGATGTTTGCTGTCCTTGGTAGATGCGGAAGATCTTGTTCATGGCGTGACGCTTGTCGTTGTTGACCATGAACCGGGTCTTCCACTTCTTCTCGAATTCCTCCCAGGTGATCTTGGTGTGGAGGGTGGCGATGGTGCACTCCAATGTGACCGCCATATGCGTCATGAAGACCTGCGCTCCTCCAATGAGTTGGAGGTATAGAGCGTCCAGCCGTCGATGGGTGGGTGTATGATGTACATCCGCCTCAGCGTTGAAGGCCATCCACCATTGCAGCGGGTCCGTCTTGAGATAGTCGTCGAACTTCTCGATCTTGAAGTTTGGCATCTTCCATTCCTTGGCGGCAGCGGCCGGTCGTTGGTCAACGCGGTCGCTGAGCGTCTGCAGCTGATTGCTGACTGTCGACGCTCCAGTAAACTTGCTGATGTCGCCGAGGGATGCGACTAAATGATTGACGCGCTCCTCCAATTGCTTTGCCTGTGCGGCCAAAGCTGGGCTGCAGTCGACTGCTGCATTGCCCGTTGACGCAGCTGATGACAGCTGTGCCAACCCGTTGCTGATATCTGCCTGCAGCTGATGGTTAAGTGTCTGCTGCTGGCTGTTCAGCGTCTGCTGTTGGCTGCTGGCGGCTTGTAGTGAGCTGTTCTCGGCCTGCAGGGTCGCGATCCTCTTGTCCAGTGCCTTGAGTGTTGTTTCATGGCGGATGAGGACCTGCCGCGTGGCAAGCAGTTCACGTTGCTGCCAATTGCATGTGTACAGCAGAGTCTCCATTAGTACTGCTGTCACTTCCTGGTCTCTTTCTTCCTCGGTTGGCCGGTCTTGCTCTTCGGTTTCCTGGAAATGCTGTCGTCGAAGTAGTCTGACATATGTGGCTTCGTTGCGAGCAAGATCCATCGTGGCTTGGTAACGAGCCTGGTTCTGATCTGCCTCGAGCTGCTGCTGTTGCAACCGTGCGGCTGCTGCAGCTTCGGCTGCGGCCCGCTGACGTGCTGCCGCTGCTTCTGCCTGCAGGCGTTGTATTTCCTGCTGGTGGGCGGCTTCCTCTTCTTCCCACTTGCGTAGGTCAGCTGCCGTCGTGTTGGAGACGGTCGAGGAACGCGAGGAGCATTTCGTCGGCCTGCTGAACTGGGAGAGGAGGAGTAACCGGCCTCTTGGGGCTGGCTGGTGCACTGTTGTCAGAGGTAGTAGCCATGGTCGAGCGTGGCCTGCGCGGTATCCGAGGGGTGCTCAGTTCCTGTTCAGGCTTGGCTCCTGCAGATCCGCGCTCGGCCAGTCGTTGGCTGCGGCGCATTTAAGATGTGTCACTGCTGATGTGGTACCTGCTGACGTGGCACTCTGCTGACGTGTCACTGCTGAGGTGGCACCTGCTGACGTGGCACTCGGCTGATGTGTCACTGCTGAGGTGGCACTCTGCTGACGTGT